GGGTTCAAGCTGTAGTTGAGAAGGTGAGTGGTAATGGGTGGCCGGGAGATGAGAATTAATAAAGAGGAGTCATTAGTGTGTGGGGTAAGTCTCCAGTTATATGCAAGAACAGGGCCTTTGTTTTGGTTAGTTATGGAATGCAAGATTCTGAATTGTTACTAGATTGTGTGATGGATCAGGTGTGGGTGTAGGACAGAGAAAACTGGTAGCTGATGATTTGCTGTTCACCAATTTCTAACGGAAATCACACTGTTCTTTTACAGACCAACTCCAGACCAAACTTCGTAAGTTCTCTTTGATTTCTCACCTGCTACTATCCTTCAGAATAACATTCGTAAATCAAAGCAGATAATTTTTCATATCATTGCCTTTGCTCAATCCAAGCAGATTACTTTTTAACCCCATAACAGAACTGTGGTGACTTTCTCTCAATAAAAAAAAAAATTATTCATGACGGTAGAATATTCTTATTTATTTTCTCTCTGGTCTAAAATTAAAAGAGTGATTTTCAGAATAACTGTGCAATATAGACATACAATAATGTCATGCCTCCACTTCTGTTGATTTTATCTTTAAGAGTATGTAGGAGGCTAGCAGAAATTTAATGTGGGGTTAATATTTTCATTGTGTAATTTTTTTTCATGGTATGGTGTGTGTTAGTAATTGGGGAAATCACATTGAGTTGATAAAATTATATCTATTTTAAGAATAGCACTCTATTGTGGAATAGTAGCACTTTGAATAAAAAAATGCTTTCTGTCAGATTCTGAGCCACATTGCAACTTCTTCATGCTGCTCTAACTACATGAATGTCCACAAAAATCAATGGATCTGAGCTCTAGGGGTTTCCCCTAGCACTAATGAATTTTTGTATGGTGTACAGGCACTATACATGCTCCTATATCACCTCCTTCTGGCCCAGTGCAAGGTCTTTGTACAGAAAAAGGGGGGCATGGCTCCTCATTCATACAATCTGTCTTCTGCACTACTCCAGGAATCTGTTGGTAACCAAAACAGTTTACAAGATCCTTCAAGCTATTGTATTGCTCACAGTGGGAACATCCCACTGCAGAGAAAGCTCAGAATTGGAGGATAGGATGCAAACAGAACCTTTCATTATTCCTCCTCCCCACCCACAAAGTTTCACTGAGTGTTCTTTAGCCACAGCTCCGGACCTCCATTGCAACCTTGAACCCAGTGATTAGGGCACTCAGATGAGAGGTGGGAAACCTAGGTTCAAATCTCTGATCCACCACGGACATAGGGTGAAAAGTGGGTTGCCCATATCCTGTGCAAGTGCTGTAAACAGAGGCCCTGGTTAGAGGTGGCTTTTCTGTGTATGTAGGAGGATCTAGAGCTGAGAAGAGCAATTACATCCTTTGTCCATTTTTGAAGAAAAGAACAATTCTGTTCCAAGTTACCCTATGAGCAGCTCCGCTAATTTCCATAGGAGCTATTTGTGCTTTTCTGAGTGTAGCCTACTTGTGAATGCTTAAACATTGATTTGTTTGTCAGAAACACAGAGGGGGGAAATGGTAGGTATGGGATTGCCTATTGGTTTCACCCAAATAAAATAAAATGAGATAAACAAAAGTATAAATAAATAGAAAGAAAAAATTAAGAGAAAACCTCTACTATTGAAAAATATATATAGTTTATTTCTTGGAATTTGTATTATCCCTCCCTCTTCTCTTAGCTCAGAAATGTCTTTTACTGCCTAGTGGTCACATTTTTGGTTATACTTACCATTTGTTGGGCATCTCCCACTTCAGAGAGCTTTCTCCTGATTTTCAGAAGAGTCAACTCCCAGAACTCCAAATTAAGTCTACCGGAGATGCAGGTTGTCTGGACACACTAATAAATTACACACTAACAATCCATGTCCACTACTGAAAATTTACTTTGAGATGTGCAACAGCAAAAGAGAGCTCATCTTTGATTCTGAATAGGTCTTTCCATTTTACTTAGTTTAAATCTATCATTTTTTTTCTACAATTTTTGTTTACTTTTTCTCACATTCCAAAGTTTCTTTCATCATTCCACTTTAATCTTGCTATTGATGGGTCATGTTCTCTTTCCCAGTCTCTATTTTAGTCATCTCATTTCTCAGCCTATGAGATCATATAACAATGAATGCCATATAAAAATGTAGATAGAATCTGTCTGAATGTCCCATAGGAAGTACAGGAGTGGAGGGAATCTGTCCATTACTTTATATTTGGATGCTACAGCACAAAAAGGATATCAAAAGACTTGTATTATTTTGAAATAAATTTTATTTTATGTTATTTCAGAGAAGTTTGAGAAAGAAAATTGTAGGTTTATTTTGATTTTTGAGCTTAATAGAAATCAGACTTAGCACCATTCACTTGTATTTGTTGGTACCTCAATAATATCTTCAAGACACTGAGGGTTTAAGCTGTAGTTGATAAGGTATGTCGTAATTGTGAGATGGGAATTGGTAAAGAGGAGTCATTGGGGTGAGTCTGCAGTTATGTGCAAGAACAGGACCTTTTTGTTTGGTTAGTTATGGGATGCAAGTTTCTGAATTGTTACTAGATTTGGGTGATGGATCAGGTGTGGTGTGTAGGAAAGAGAAAACTGGCAGCTGATGATTGGTTCTTCATCAATTTCTAATGGAAATTGTACTGTTCATTTGCAGACCAACTCCAGAATGAACTTGGTAAGTTCTCTTTGATTTCTCAACTGCTACTATCCTTCAGAAGAATGTTCTTAAATGAAAACAGATATTTCTTCATTTCATTGCCTTTGCTCAATTCAAGGAGGGTGAATTACTCTGCAGGTTTCTTTCAAACCCCATAACAGAACTACGATGAGTTTCTCTCACACAAAGTTGATTTATTGCCCTGGAATATTTGTATTTATTTCCTCTGTGGTCTAAAATTGAAGGATGAATTTTCCAGAATCACTGGAAATTATGGACATTCCATAATGCTATGCCTCCTGTTCTGTTAATTTTATCATTGATTGTATGTAGGAGGCTAGCAGAAGTTTTCTATGGGATTATTTTTTTCATGGTAGGATATGGTGTGTGTTAGTAATTGCGAAAATCATTTTGAATTGATAAAATTATACTTATTTTAAATGTTGCACGCTACTGTCTAATAGTTACTCTTTAAATAAAAAAAAATTCAGATTCTGAGCCACATTGTAGCTTCTTCATGCTGCTCTAACTACCTGAATATCCACAAAAATCAATGGAACTGAGCTCTAGTGGTGTCCCCTTGCACTAGGGAATTTTTGTATGGTGTACAAGCACTATACATGCTCCTATATTAGCGCCTTCTGGCCTAATGCAAGGTGTTTGGCCAGGAAAAAGGGGGCATGGCTTGGCATCAATATTACGTGCCTTGTGTATTTGCCATGGGATTCGCTGGTAATGATAACAGTTTAGAGAATCCTTTAAGATGATGTATTCTGCTCATAATTGAAGGGTAGGATGGAAACAGAACCCTTCATTACTCCTCTTTCCACCCCAACCCGAAGTGTCACTGAATGTTCTTTAGCCACCGCTCTGGACTGCCCTTATAACCTTCAGCCCAGTGATTAATTAAGTCAAGTTCTAATCCCTACTGTATCTCAGGCAGAGGGTGTGAACTAGGTTTCCCCCATTCTGGGTGAGTGCTGTAACAACTGGGCTAAAGATTAAAAGGAAAGTTGTCCTCCTCCCCAGCCATTTTGTGTGCAGTTAGACACACAATGCTGCTTTTCTTGTGAGATATGGCTTAGGCACCTCCCTCAAGGCCAGACTGAGGTGTTGAACTCCCTGAGGGGGCAGGGCTTAGCATCTCCCAGTCATTAAATTAAATGGCATCCTGCTTAGTGCGCTGGCTTTTGTGGAGCCCATTGTTAAGTGCCTGTCTCTTCACCATGTCAGCTACCATCATTTTGAGAGACTTGAGGAGAATGCGAGAAACAATGCTCACAATTAATCAGATCTACCTTTATTAAAGTCTTTTCATATAGAAAACCACAACTAATATAACTGTTGCATAAATGGCAATGGCTAGAAAAAACAAAGTGTCCAGCACCAGTATTTCTAATTCTTTCATATTCACATGGAATCCTGAAGTGCAGTGGTGTCCGGCGGCTGTTGAGGGTCAGGAAATGAAGACCTCCAGGAAACGATGACCTCCAGCCATCTGCCAGGTCCTATTCATAATAAGTTATGCATATAGGATTGAATCTCACATGTCCATCTTTGTGAGTGTCACTCTGATATTCTTGGGGGACTCTTCACATGATAGGCCACTTGGATATTTCTTATTTTAACTTGTTAACATTTAAGTCACTTGATCACCATAGTAACATGTGGATACCTTAAGGATGTCTCTAACGTTACACCCTAGATATTAGCAGTTAGTTTGTGGTTTCCTCAGATGTTATTATCCAAACTCAGCAGTTATTTAAAAAAAAAATCAGCATAGAAACACAGACACACACTCAACAGATTTATTATTAACTTATTTGTGCTCATATTTTTATAATATGACTTATCCTAAGTCCTAAGGCCTAATTTGGCTAAATTAAATATTTTACAGGCCCAAGCTTGTAGGTTTCTTGCATTTCAGCTTTAAACCCTTGCAATATTGGTTAACCCATTACTATCATATATTAGTCTTTTATAATACATTAATTTATTAATTACAAGCTACACCATGTAGTGAATAGGGAGCCTGGCACCTAACTGAGGCCTTGTAAATTCCATTGCATGTCTAGGTGCTTAAAAGTGAGATGTTGCTGTAAGGGGACAGTTGGCCCCTCACTAAAACTTGGTGGGTTTGTTTGGCTGGCCACTCCCCATGGCAGGAGAGAGGAGAGGAGTCAGGACCCTGGGACTGAGAGGACCTCTGGCCAATCAGAGAGCTCCAAACCAGGGCCACTCTGAAGTATCCCACAGCCCAAGTCAATCTGATTGACCAGGCAGATGGGCCAATCAGGGACCCAAGCTCAGGTCCCAGCCTCTGTGCATGCGGGGGAAGGATACAGTGAGAGCAGCTGCAGGGGAGAGGAGCTGGGGGGAAAGTGAGGGAGAAAAGAGCCACATGAAAGAGTGGGGAGGGGCTGAGTGATCTGGCGGGGTTCAGCACTTTTAGCGGAAAACCTCCATAATACAGTGAGAGAACCAGCCTGTCAGGGTCCTGTGTAGGTCAGTGAACCCAGCACAAGAGACAGGACTGCAGGCATGGGTCAAGGGGTGGTGATGGAGTCCGGAAGAGGAGTGGTGAGAGGGGCAGAGTCGGGGTCAGTGAAGAGGGTGGGGCAAGGGGCAGTGTGGGCAGGGCGAGTGGCAGTGAGGGGGCAGAGAGGGGGCAGGGAGGGATGGTGTAAAGGCGGTGGGGAGGATGGGGCAAGGGGGCTGGCTAAGGAGTGGTGAAGAGATGAGGCCAGGGTTGCTGAGGGAGTGGGGCTCGTGAGCAGGTTGAGGGGCAGTGAGCAAGGCAGCATGAGGGGTGATAAGGGGGCTGGGCCAGGGGCGATGAGCGGGTGGGGCGAGGGGTGGTGATTGGTTGGGGCTGGTGAATGGGGTGGGGGTCAGTCAGGAGAGAGGGGCCAGGGGCAGTGAAGGGGCAGGACCCCATCATTACATGAAGACAAACCTAGCCAGGCTGACCCCCGTGGAGGGGAGAGAAACCACCACCAGAGTCGGGGCTACAAGGAGGGGCTGGGGGATCAGGGCTCGCTGTGAGGGAGCGGAGACAGAAACAGAGACTCAGCAAGGGGAAGTGTGTGGGGTAACTTGGAGGGCCCGAGCTGAGGATTCCCAGAAATCCCCAGTACTGCCTTGAGACCCACCATGACTGGCACAGCTTTGGGGGGCTCCCAGAAGCCCTTGAGCCAGGAAGAGGTGCAAGTCCTCTGGGGTGACTGCAATCAAGTCTGCAGAGGATTTTCAGATCTCGTCCCAAGGCAAGGCTCTACATAAGTCATGCATGGACCAAACAAAGGTGCTCCACCTCGCAGCAGGCTGGGGAGCCTGGAGATCAGAGGAGGATGGGTCCCCTCCCCTCATTTCTCTCATTTTCAGTTGATCCTTGGTTACAGAGGAGTATGGAGAGACATTGCTGTGGTAATTTGTATACACCATAACCCAGTGGGTGGGGCATTAACCACATCAGACATCCCTTCTGGGGCTATCAAACCAAGGAGCCAAGTTTCATCACCATACAGAAGAAGCTGTTGCTGTTTAAAATGTATTGGTTTGTGTGTAAAGAATCATAGAAGATTAGGATTGGAAGAGACCTCAAGAGGTCATCTAGTCCATCCCCCTCCTCAAAGTAGGACCAACCCCAACTAAATCATCCTAGCCATGGCTTTGTCAAGCCAGGCCTTAAAATCCTCTAAGGATGGAGATTCCACCACCTCCCTAGGTAACCCATTCCAGAGCTTCACCACCCTCCTAGTGAAATAGTGTTTCCTAATATCGAACCTAGACTTCCCCCACTGCAACTTGAGACCATTGTTCCTTGTTCTGTGATCTGCCACCCCAGAGAAAAGCCTAGCTACATCTTCTGAGGAACTCCCCCTCAGGTAGTTGAAGGCTGCTATCAAATCCCCGCTCACTCTTCTCTTCTGCAGACTAAATAAGCCCAGTTTCCTCAGCCTCTCCTCATAAATCATGTGCCCCAGCCCTCTAATCATTTTCATTGCCTTCTGCTGGACTCTCTCCAATTCATCCACATCCTTTCTGTAGTGGGGGGACCAAAACTGGACACAGTACTCCAGATGTGGCCTCACCCGTGCCGAATAGAGGGGAATAATCACTTCCCTTGATCTGCAGCCCAATATGCCATTAGCCTTCTTGGCAACAAGGGCAGACTGTTGACTCATATCCAGTTTCTAATCCATTGTAATACACAGGTCCTTTTAGGCAGAACTGCCGCTTAGCCTGTCAGTCCCCAGGCTGTAGTAGTGCATGGGTTTCTTCCATCCTAAGTACAGGACTCTGCACTTGTTCTTGTTGAACCTCATCAGATTCCTTTTGGCCCAATCCTCCAATTTCTCTAGGTCACTCTGGACGCTATTCCTACCCTCGAGCGTATCTACTTCTCCCCGCAGCTTAGTGTCATCCGTGAACTTGCTGAGGGTGCAATCCATCCCACCCTCCAGATCATTAATGAAGATGTTGAACAAAACTGGCCCCGGGACCGACCCCTGGGGCTCTCCACTTGATACCAGCTGCCAACTAGACATTGAGCCATTGATCACTACCCCTTGAGGACGGTGATCTAGCCAGGTTTCTATCCACCTTGTATTCCATTCATCTAATCCATCCTTTTTTAACTTGCTGGCAAGAATACTGTTGGAGACTGTATCAAAAGCTTTGCTAAAGTCAAGGTATATCATAAAGTCCACAAGGTATAAAGTCCACTGCTTTCCCCATATCCACAGAGCCAATTATCTCATCATAGAAAGCAATCAGGTTGGTCAGGCATGACTTGCCCTTGATGAATCCATGTTGACTGTTCCTGATCACTTTCCTCTCCTCCAAGTGCTTCAAAATGGATTCCTTGTAGGACCTGCTCCATGATTTTTCCGGGGACTGAGGTGAGGCTGACCAGTCTGTAGTT